CATGGCTCATTAATCTCATAAACGTGCTAGATGCATTAGTAAATCCAAATGGCATGATTGACCACTCATATAAACAACATTTAATCTTAAAAACAGTTTTTCACTCATCACCGTCTCTCATCCTAATTTGATGATATCCACTTTTAAAATCTATTTTACTAAATATGCATGATTCATGTAATATCCAATATATCATCTAACCTAAGTATATGGTGACGATATTTTATTGTTATGTTGTTGATCGCCCAACAGTCTACGTACATCCTCCAAGCCCTATCTTTCTTTGGCACGAGTAACACTAACACGGTACATAGACTTATGGTTTCCCCCACATACCATTTGTTCATCAATTATTCCACTTGTTTTTGAAGTTCCTTGGTCTTCTCGGTATTACGCTGATAAGCCGGCTTGTTTGGAATGACACCTCCAGATATGAAGTCTATTTGATACTCAATACCTCGAATGTGTGGTAACCCACTAGGCATGTCCTTCGAAAACAAGTCTGCAATAAAGAAATGGTCAAATTAGGGAGGGGTGTTTTAGATTCCTCAAAGTTGATGAGTGATTCCCTATAAACCAACAAGATCATAGGTCGGTTCTCAACTACCGTCCTCTTCAACCCACTCCCTTTTGTAAAGAAATTTACTTTCGACTTTTCTCTCCTCTCATAAGAATATTTTTCTTTATTCTCTTGTAGTTCTATTCTTTTTTTCCTCATAATTAGCCACCTCACTTCTTGCTTTCTTGTTGTAAAAGATCAATCTCACTCTCCTTTTTTTTAAATCTTTTTTCTTCCTGACTTTTCAATTTGAGTTGATCTTAATAACTTGTGCTGGTGTTAACTGCATAAGAGTAATAGACTTTCCATCTTTAGTAAAATTGTACATATTTTTGTACCCATCATGAATCACCTTCCTATCATATTGCCATGACATTCTCAACAAAATATGGCCGGCATGCATAGGAACTACATCACGCACTTCATCATAATACCTCCAAATTGAGAAACTCACCAACACTTGCATCACTTTAACATCTCCACATTCATTCAATTGCAATTGGTAAGGCCAATGATATTTTAGCATAGTTAATCCCAAGTTCTTGATAAGTTCAGAACTAATTCAATGAAGAACGAGTTGAAAACAATATGTCTCACAATAATATCTCTCAAATTGTGTATTTTTACAATGAAAATGATAATCCTAATTATACGGAATCCATAAAATCTAGTTAAAAAGGGAATTGCTCATAAAAGATATCATAAAAGAGTTTTAACTAAAATAGATAGAAGTTCAGATGAAATTTGGAAAAAAACGCGTCCAGAAATGCACTATGCGGCCGCATAGGCTTCTAGCACAAGGTCGCATAGGCCAATAGACAGGTTTCGGTTTTGACTTGGTATGGCTCCATTATTTCAATTTATAATGAGAGAAATAATATTTTTTTAGAGAATGTGCGGTTAAAAAAAGTAATAGTTTTAGGTTGAATAAAGTTATATGTACATTGTTGGTTGACAATGTATTTGACACTCTTCCTATGTGGCAAAAATCTAGGTAATAATGTGATGGTTGTGGTTAAAATAAATGGTGAAAATATAGTCACATGAAACAGTGTAAATCTTAGTTGACTCATAATGTACATATAACATGGTTCATTAAACTTAAACTTTAACATCTTAAAATTATAATATATTAATTAATGAAAGAAATAAAGAAAGTTATTTGCAGGCATGAACATAGGTGGACAGTACGAATATATTTCAATAATCGAAAGTCGAAACTATCCATACTTTAGGTACTTCATAAATTGATCTAGTTGGGTTCGGTTCTAAATCATAACTTTTTTTATTTTTATTTTAAGAAACTACAGTCTGACAATACAAATTATATTCCAATATTTAGCATAAAATAGAAAAAAACAAAATAATTCATCAAATACATATCCAATACTTTCTTAGTTCTTTGAAAATATTTCAACACTTTTTTGGGCCTTGCAAACTTGTTATTAGTTGGGCAGATTCATTGGGTCAGTGTGAATAAGTTATAAAAAAAATAAAAATTTATAAAAAATACAAATTCGGTTTCAAAGAAGTGGAAATTACATCATACCAGAATTTTAAATTTCAAAATTCAGATTTATAAGTTTTTATTTCAAAAATTAGATGATAATTCAATTTTTAATATTAATGGTATAATTACTAAATTAAATTAACCCACCCACACATCACTTCCCCAACCCTAATTCTCGTCCCCCTTCTCCCTCTCCCTCTCCCTCTCCCTCTCTCTCTATATCCTCCTCCTCATCTCTTCTATGCCTTTAGCACACACCACCACCGGGGACCGGCAACACCGCTCTTCGCATCAGGTAAGCATCGTTGGGAGCTACGTTGCCTAGGGCTGTCCGTGGGTCGGTTCGGTTCGGTTCTGAAGAGACCCGAACCGACCCAAAACTTTCGGGTATTTAATAAATGGACCCGTTGGGTCCAAATATAATTATGGAACCGTTCGGGTTCGGTTCCGTTCGG